GCCGTGCCCGTGGTCTTATCAACACACTCCACATGCCATGTCTAGGATGGCTTTTTTCGGCAATGGAATTATTACATTTTTATGAGAGCTTCACACCGTCCTTTTCACATACAAAGAATCCGGCTGCTGTCCTTGACGCGTGCCATAAGACAATGGCATATTTCAACATGTCAGTGGCTCTACTGGCACTTTTAGTTGAAGCCTGCTCGCATGCCTGGTTGCTGAATGGAAATATGGCCAAATAAATCATTTTATTGCAATACAATTTCGGATCTTTGTCTCGTTTTCCTCCGTCCTATAAGGACACGCACACACACACCGGATGTTTATCACGCGTTTTACACGCAGAAAAATTATGGCACAAAGCCTTTTTTTTTGGTCAGAAAAGAAAATATTTACCAAAAACGGTGGTTTAAGATGTGGTCTCTTTTGGCACTGACTAGATTATTTTCAGTGTAGTATCACCGTCACACTAGCACTTCCTTTTTGCTGAAACATTTTATGCGGCTATTGGGAGCCCAAACAAACTCACACACACACACGTTACTCCAATATTAATAAGACCGTGTGGAGGCTGTCAATATGACATGGCGCCAAAATGCTGCCACCGGAAGTTGTCCAACAGGAAGAGGAAAAGCCACCACCCCTCCAACCAGCCGCACACCATTCCAGGGAGTATTACATTGCTCATTTTTTATTATCGCCCAATCCAATCTCGGAGCCGGGCTCCTTGGGTGGATGGATGTGCAATTGGTTTTTGAGCTGCCACCGGAAGCAACAAGGCAACACTCCGGCAGATCTGAAGCCTTGACGGCTGGGAGGAATGGGGGCCTGGATATTGGCCACTTGAGGGATTGGCCTGAGCCAGATTTGTGGACAGCAATTAATACTTTTATGGGTCCAACGGAAATTTAATTTAATTATTAATTAGCCGGGCCACGTGACCGAGCTGGGCTTATTATCCCCATTAAACCAAGCGAAAATCCAAATTTAATTGCTTCGAGCACAGGGGGTGCGCTTGTTTAGTTTGAGACCCGCGAAGGAGCGTTCGAATGGCAAACAATGTTGACAAAGGAAGCCAGAGAGACCAAGATCAAAGTCAATGTCTCCTGACCTGTTCTCACCTTCCAACCCAAGCAGTCACAAAGTTTCCCAGGCGAGCCAAACTTTGTCCTTTTCCGTTTCCTACTACCGCCGCACCTTGAGTTCGGTTCAACTCTTTCGCCTGCACTTTAGCTCTACAGTTGTTGAAATATTCATAATTGAAGTTTATTGTTTACTCTCGAAGGTCTTCAAAAACGTGGGTATGTGTGTGTGTGTGTGGCACGCCCCCGCCTACGGTTCTGTTTTACTGGAAGCCGCTTTGATTGTTTTGCGGCCCAGAGACCGTCGATAAGTTGGCCTGCAAAAGTTCACAAACTTTTCAGTTTCAGTTTTTTGTTTTAGCCTTTTTTTCAAGCCCTTTAGAAACTTTTGATTGGCGAACAAAATGGCACAAGTGATTGGACATGTGCTTCATTTATAGCACTATATGTCTGACCTACTTAAGGTCTACCATTTATTCTCTTTCTGGGGTACCAGCTGTTGACTTGACCTCTTGAATATAAATGATGAAAGAAAACGTTGTTTGCAATTTGACAATTCCCTCCAAAGCATTGGGAACTTTTTTAAGAGGATTGTGTTGTTTCAGGAACAAACTTAAGACCCCATAAAACTGAATGCCTTTTTTAACTTCCCCTTTTTCTATATTTAGAACGACTTGCCAGTTAATATCAAACATCAACCTATGTTCTATCCTTGAGTGTTCTTGACCGGTTTATTTGATAAATTGCTTTAACCTTTGAGCCATGAAGGAAAGAAGCAAAAGGTCGAATATAAAACGTCTGAAGATCCCAACCCTAATTTTATTCTTTCTTTATGGAGCCTACTTAAACGGGCTATTAAATATAATTGGAAGCCATTTGTACAATCTACTTAGGATATTATTTTTAATGCAACAACCAAGAGCCACGCCTTTTTTAGTTCCCGCCTCCCGTTCATTGCAATGCTAATTGCGGTGAAAGCAAAAAATAAGGGACCTAGGTAAACATAAAAAGGACAATAAGCACGAAACAATGGACCTTTTGCAATTCAAATTACCATTTTGAGTAGATCAAATAAAAAACGGAAAGGAGTGCGCCAACAAAAACTGCTGAGTAGTGCTAGCTAAATTGTTTTTGATGCCACCGTTGGCGGTGCAGATGGCTAACAGGGCTCTTTGCAGGACAACTACCAAATCCCGGCGCGGAAAACATGCGGCCAGGGACACTCCGAGGACCGCAACAGCGGCCAAGTTGGCAGGACCAACACCCAGATTTGCATAACACGTTTCACATGGCGGTTCCCGCAAAAGGAAAAAAAAAAAAGAATAAATATAAAATAAACCTGAGTTTTACCACCGCCCACTATGCAGCTGCGGCCAGTTTCATATATTTTAGCCCTCTATCCCTCAGTTTTGTGGTGACACATAAAATACCAGCTATAAGGCCGGCTAGAGAGGTTAAGGATGCTGACCTCGACCTCGACTTACTCTATTCATACCGTTGATTGACTTTTTATTAAAACACAGGTGTTTCTTCAATTTTGGCTCTATTTAAAGTTTTATTATAATTTTATAATAGACACGGCTTTAAGCTACAGACTTATTTGCATACAGATTTCGGCCCATATCAACCCTTTACTTTGCATACATTGTCCTAGCAGGATGCAAGGTTACCCATTTACGTGTGAAAGTGGCGGGAAAACGATTTACAATTCACTTGTTCGGGTTGTTCTAATGCGACGTCGCTTCGGGCGCTTTTCGCGCAGCTCTCTTTTTTATGTTTTCAACCTGGTCAAAAGGCCTGGCGACAGTGACTGCGACTGACTCGAGGCTGTCCAGATCCAGATCCAAAACCGAAAGCCAAGGAACAGCGAATGGCGAACGGCTAACGGCGAACAATGGCACCAACAGCAAGGCAAACAAAAGTGGCTAAAAAGCAAAAGCTGCAAAAAGGCCAAAGGCGAGGCACGAACCCTCTAACGAAACATACAACACACCCAAACATACACCTACAGGCACTCATAGATACATATATGCATGAAATTTCACACCCAGAGGGGGTGGCGAAGGGGTAGGAGAGGGTGGTTGGGTGGATGGGATGTGCGGTATGTTGGGGGCCCAGCAGAAGACAGAGGAGCCGAAATGCAAATACCCAAACAATGGCGGTGCGGGGGCTACTAAGCCAAGCTAAGAAGGTTTTGGTAAACAAATTTTACTGCCAACTCGCACACAAACCAACCGCACTACCCCAACCAGCAGCTACACTACAGGAAAGTGGGGAAAGTTTCATAAGTTTCTTTATTTAAAAATATTAAATTTATATCTCCTTTAAACTTTTTTTTTAACTTCGAAAGTGTATGGTCCATGGGCTAAGCTTAAATGATATTGAATGCTTATAATTTATAATACTTTTTTTTCCAAGTGTATGTGTATTATTATTGTTGGCCCAGGACATTCATAGTTAAAATTTAGAGAGACAGCGCCGAGAGATTTGGCAAACAGCTACAATATTCCTGCCGCCGATGTTGCCAACAGAGTCCCCTCCTTCCCTGCCACTGCCACGCCCATACATATCTTTCCTGTTGCGTTAATCAAGGCTCACACAATCGCCTCCAAATACAACAACAACAACAAGAGCACCTAGAGCAGTAACAATAACCACAACAACAATGTGGGGCGTGCACGTGCCAAAATTGCCAGAGAATATTTTGCATTTGTTTTTTATTTGTGAAAGCGACATTTCCTAGCTGGTTTTCATTTTTTTTCCATTTGTTGCTGGCCAGCTTGGTGTTGATTAAAAAATTGTCAGGTCCTGAAAATTCATGGCGCCCTCGATCCTTTTGTGCACAGTGACCAAAGGATTAAAATACTTACAGTTGAACGAAAACTAGTTGTATGCTTCCTGGGAAAAATGTTTCAGAAATCGAAAAAGTTATTGTTGTTTATGGTAGTTTATTTTCGCTAAAAGGATTGAAGCTTTGGTTCTATGTACATAATATTTTAATTTATTTTCTTAATTTCTGACTCTAACTCAGTGTACTTCCATAAACTGAGTCAAACATTCGCCCTGTTTTCCCAAGAGGAAACCTTTTGGGCTGTGACTATTAAAATCGATTGGATTCTGTTTGCTACGGATACATTTTCACCAGAGCCGAAGTGTTGCCATATTTTCTGCCGGGTTTTTAGGTTTGTTGAATGCCCATTTGGGTTAATAACAAATAACTGAATGGTCCATTATACGAAATGAGTCTGAGCCATGGCCAGAAAGTGTTGAGGGCTAATGGCAATGGCCATGACAATGGCAGTTACCCAAGTAGGGGCTGCCATCCTAACGGCAGTGGATTATTTTCAAGGCACCCCTTCTTAGAATTACCAGAAATTGCCCTCATACATTATGTAATAAATTTTATGGGCTAATTGCAAGCAAAAGTTCATTAATTTGGGTGCCATGAACTAAATTTATGAAGGTCATTAAATATTGTTAGCTCCTGCTTCTATAAATATTGATATAGGTTTCAATGCCCAAATTATTATTGAACCTGAAAGGTAACAATAGTGTTAAGATATTATGGTTTTGTATACATAATTATAAAACTTATCCAGCCCGTGATTCTATTGATGAATCAGTAATAATGCAAAAATATAGATAACCACTAAACTTAAAATCCTGGCGAGGATTAACCCCCATGATAGCCCACTAGTTGACCACAAATTTAATATTTTCATCTACTATGATATTCATTGAACGGATATGCAAAGCAGAGCATACCCATATCTGCACATTAGTCCATACAAATTTTCATGTTTACCAGAATTGCCATTTAAATCGAGAGTTATCGAGGGGCTTTAGAATTATGTTCAATATTTGACATACCGCAGAAACGGCGACCGCTAATCGAATTTTCATGATTTTTTGCAGATTTTATGACCCTAATATCGGCCATGTGAGATTGTGACGACCACCAGCAGCTACAAATACCACAAAAACTAACACCAAATTGAAAATCGGAAAGCAACAATATACAACAAAAAAGTCTGCAGCATAAATCAGAGGATCTGGACATTGACACAATTTGTACATACATAGTGTATAACTAAATCCGCACATTGCCGGAATCGATTAACTATTTAGGTAAAATGGATAACTCCCGGCAACGATGACATGTCCTGCCCAAAAACTACCAAAATGCATGAAATCCATAGAAAAAGGCACACGCAACGATTCCAAAAATATCACAAATTGTTGTATCAATAAATTAATAATAACATTTTTGCGAACAAACAAGCCACAATAACAAAAAGTTGACAACATCAAATAAAGTTAAAAATCGGGAAAAATAGTCGTGAATTCCAAAAGGGAAACAACTACATAGTAAAGGAATTTATTCGCTCACAAATATTGCAAACACTTTTCCCGTTTAGTATGCAAATGTCGAGGCCATGATTGTAATAATGATAGCAACCCGGTAGTTCCCACATATCCACCCTTCCCGCCCTAGAAGTCCGCTGTAAATATTCAAGAGATTATTTTTATTGTCCTTTTCGAAATTTATGTAGCATACAATTTATAATTTCTAGCTTGTAAATCATTTATACATTTAACTAGGAGTAAGGAGTAAGGCTAGGAGTTGGTCAAGGGGAGGCTGTGTCGATGGGCGTGGCAGTTCGCTTTTCTTAAGAATAAGCTCTAAGTAGATATCACAAAACACACAATCATGCGAACATGAAAACATTTTTCAAATTGTATAGGAAAATAAAATTGCATTGCTAAATAGCTTAGATTCTTGGGATTAGTTGTGCATATAAACGAGTACACATACATACACCTACTTATAGAAGCTAAAACTCTATGCCTATGAATATAATTAAAAATATATACATAATATATATATTTACAATGGACGACCAAACAAAAGTAAAACTTTAACTTTAGAAACAAGTCAACACACAAACTACACAAAGCGCAGAAAACAGAAGAACAAAACTGAACTAAGTAGAACTCAGAAATAAGACACTGGAGAGTTGTGGTGAGCTAGAAGAAACCGTGCTGAAAAGAATTACTTTGAGGCCTCGAAAGGAGTTGGGTATTTCCTTTCATCTCACCCTCTCACCTTTCGGGGAATAGCAAAAAAGCATAGAAAATAAAAAAGAAGCTTGTTAGTGATACTAATTTTAAACGAAACTTAAAATTGAAACCCTGTTTAATAATTCTTAGCGAGTCTTGAAATGATTACATTGTTATACAGTTTTTGTTGAGACCTTTGTTAAATTTAGAGACTTTAACTTCATCTGTATATAAGAGTAATGACCACATCGGTAAGATTTAGCTAATAACTATTTAAAAGAGAAAACTAAGCTGTATGAATAAGGTACGACACACATAGAATGCGTTTCAAAGGGTATATTATTTTAATTAAGTAGAGATTTATATTTAATAGAAACCTATGTTAATATATGTTACTTAAATATTTTATTAAACGGCCTAATTAAACTTTTGGTATTAATGTCGTTTGTTTTATTTAAAGAAAAGGTTTTAAGTTATATATAATTTTATGAAACGCACTTCTCATATGTATACCAGTTAACACAAAGACATAGAGACACTAACCCACATGCACCTTCGCTTTAGGAGATGAAATATGATCAAGTTCCAAGCAAATCAAACATATTATTCAGTTTAAAAATCGATCTATCTATCATACAACCACACACGCTCCAACACGTATATAAAGGACACGCACATCAATGCAAAAAGCATAATATCTGAAACAATTTAACAATTAGCATTAAAAATTAATGAAAAATAAAACAATTGTCTGAGCAACACATAAAAAGCAACCAACTAAAGCGAATGACTTGGCAAAACCCATTAAAAATAACACTCAAATGTAACAATGAACAAGTAAATGAATCGAAACACGAAATACGAATACGTGAATGCAACGCAGAAGTAAATTGAAATGAAAATGCGAATTTTGCAAGCCCATAGGCGACATTAGATACGAGAGTATGTAAATTGATGAAATGTTAAATAAACGAAAGTAAAAAATAGAACATGCCTTTTACTACACTTCCATTCCATCCATTTGGGTGTGCAATTTCAATTATTTCGAGTCTGGATGCTGGTATCGGGGTTCTGTTCAATCAATTGTTAAACCGGAAATGGAAACAACACATAACACGCATGTGGAAGCGTAAAGTGCATCGGATGCATTTTTGTTTCCATAGGGACCCGTCGACTACTCTGGCGAATTGTGTGTGTGACGGCGACTAAATTACTCGAAAAATATATTTAGTTGTGGGCATGTATTATGGATAGCTGGTAATTGAATTGGAGTGCCAAAGGGTGAGAGCGCTATGGAGCCAACATTGAGTGGAATGAAATGGTTTGTAAGGGATTGAGTGCCAATGAAAAGCGACAATGAGGCATTGAAATTTCACGAATGACTATGGTACTCTGATGCCATCTCTTCTGGGTAATAATTTTGAAAAATATGTATCTCTGTACTGCCACCATTAACAAGTACTAGATGAGGAAATACAGCCTATTAAAGGTAGGTGCTACCCAATGTACACCCTTGTCAACTAGTACATATATCCGATAAATGCGATAGATATATGTATAGCCTTATTTCCTTACATTCCTTGCGTACATATCCTTAATTAACCTAATTTGTCAAAAATTTATTAAGATTATAGTTCGTTTATAAATTATAGATCTAAAATTGAAACACTCATATTTCTGTTGCCTATTTTAAAGGGCGCCTACAAGTCATATAATAATAAAGATTACACAGTGCGACCGTGTTTGAAATTTTTCGAACACCCTCAAAAACTTTATTTATTTAGAAAAAAAAGGTTTTTCGGGACTTTTTGGCTTTTAAAAAAAATAGATTTTTAATTTATTTCAACAAAAAGGATAAAATTTTTACACAAGAAACTGACATTTTCGAATTTTAGTCCTGTTTTTCGGACTTTGACGCCATTTTTTCGGTACAACTTCCAAGAAATGGTATAATTTTTGACACATATCAATATTGTCTCGTTAATCCTGAATAAAACGAGACCAAATTCATTAGGAAATTATGAAAATTGTTGAAGTTATAACGCTTTTCCCAAAACTATTCAGTCCAATCTTGCTAGCGTTCCGGAGTAATAGTGTGCCCTTCCATTCCGCCTATTCCTTTCTTTTACACACTTTTACTCCGGAGCGCTAGTAAAATTGCACTGACTTGTTTTGGGAAAAGCGTTATTTTTGAAACTATATACGATTTTTTTATATATGATCTTATAGCTACCATTAATGTAAGTGCCTAATTATAAATTCCATTGGTGTATTTGATGATAGCATCTTTGGGACGAAATTTATATTATAAACTAACTTACTAACTAGTTAGTAAGTTCCGATATTTCCGATATTTTCAGTAAATATCCCGATATTTCCGATATTTTCAGTAAATATCCGATATTATCTTATAAAATAAACTTACACTTTACTGCAAGGATTAATTAACTTTGGCGCCGCCGGAAGTAAGCCTTCTTTTCTGGTTTTAGTTCCTATACCTTTGTCGAAACTCTTTAATATATTGCATCAAGAAAAAAGACACAATAAATACAAAAATTATATAATAAACATTGTGTATGTATCTTTCCAAATATTTCCTTTTATCTTATCCCTGCCAACAGCTATTAAATTGTAATTAAAATTTGTGGCCACAAAGTCTGGTAGCTCAAAAAGTAATATATATATGTATACAGAGGGATAAAAAAGGGGGGATTTAAGAGAGGAACCCACTGGAAGATTAATTGAATTACATTAGTCTGAGTTTCCACATACAAAAATATGCAAACCAAATGCGTAAGCCGCAGAAAAAAATGAATGGAAAAAAACGAAATAAATACACAAATTAAAAAATGGAAAACGCGTGTAAATAGCGAGCAAAATTTTCCCAACACCGACCCTCGCACGTTCCTTTTATTGCGGCCTGTGCAAATTTTCACCTAACCTTTATTACGGCGACAGGTGAGAGGACGGAGGAGTGTTGGGGAGAAGAGGTCAAGGGGAAGCTAGGGGAAAATCTCGCTATCTACAGCCATCTCGTTCTGGTCCTCATTTCGTATGCCGCGCAACAAGCATTTATGTAAATTGAAAATATGCCGGTGACATTTCTGGGGGGGTCTGAAAAAATAGACGATGGCAGCTAGGGTGGACATTTAAATTCAATTGTCAGCGGGATCTTCAGCTCTGCTCTGGAAATCAGTGTCCAAATGTAAGAGAGACCACCCCCACGGTAATCACTTGATAAATTCACTATTTGGAACTTTCTAGAAGGGCAAGATTTCTTAGCGATACCGGCATTTCAATTAATAACTAAAATAGGTTTAACTCAGTTTTGCCTTTATTTAATATTTAATGTTTAGAATATAAGTAAGCTATTTCCCTGTTTTGAGGGATCACTGTACTCACATGAATGACCCATTCTGCTGGCAGTAATAGCCAAGCAATGAGAATTTATACTTATTACTTACTATTCCCGGTCAGTTCGCGTCCAACAATTGGGCAGTGCAGACGACAGACCACGTCACAGATTCGCAGATTCATTCATCAATAAGAACGGCGGCAGGAAGAGAAAGTGCAGTGAAAGAAAGTGACCAAGTGCATTCCAAAGGCGGTACTAAAAAAATCGAAATGATGGAACGACTGCTGACCATGTTCGAGCAGGCGGATCCCTTCTCCACGTGGTGGCCCACGATAGCAGCCCTGGCGGTGGGCATTGTGATTACAGTGCGGTGAGTGCGATGAGTCAACGGAAATGGCTTCTTCACTGCCCCGACCTATGTTTTTTTTGGGAGGGGGTGGTATAAAAACTTTCGGCCCGGACACACGTAAATAAATGTCGCAGCAGCCCAGCAAAAAACTCCCCCTCTTGCCAGTCGTGAAAAGTTTTTAAGTGGATTTCATACAGAAATGTTGGAGTGGCCGAAGGGAAAGAGCTTGATGCAGAAGAGACCCGGATAATATGTAAAATCTAAAGATTATTTTCATTTTTTGTAATACCCACTACTCTTAGAGTATAGGGAGAATAAGTTATCAGAACTATGTGGTTGGATTTTTTTTTAGAAAATAGTATAGTTTGAAGCTCTTAGTCTCATCGATTCAGGTTTTAAAAAATATTTTAAAAAATAATTGTATGTGCCCTATTTTTGATCTTATATCCATAATCTCTAGTTAAAAATTTAGTTAATTTTTCCATGCCAGGGTACCTAATAGTCGCTATTCAAACAGAATTAATTTTAGTTATTTTTGTCGCGGTTTTTGTGACCCCACACTATCTCGGGCTTGCCAGTTGCAGGTGTTAGTATAAGCCGGAGATGCGGAAACGGAAATGGCTGCGACTGCAATATGGCATTTTCCCGCCCTTTCGCTGTGCCACCACCAGGACCACCTCAAAATATTTACAAAGTGGATTTGTGCAAGTTTGCTTCAAAGTAACTGAAATGCCAAATGAATTCCGAAATGAACGATGGGATGCGAAAGTTAGTAAGTGCCAGGATAAGTCCCCGCCTAATGAAGTGGAACAAATCGCGGAAAGAAGACTGATAGAGAAAATAACCATCTGCCAAATCTAAATTAAAGTATGTTAGCTGATAGTATTCCGCTGAAAAGACCAATTTTATTTAAAGTCCGCAAACGAGCAGTAAAGTGTAATTTTACTAAATACGTTTCCCATTTAGTCATGCGAATCGAAAGAGCCGAATACTAATTGGCCATATAGAAGTTTATTTAAATTGGATTTTCACCCAATTTGTATTTTTAGTAATCAACAAATACGTTTAATTGGTAATGATTATACTTTGTGCCAGACTAAAGGCTAAACAAACATTGCCTGAGGCCTAAAATTAAATAAATTAACATTCATTGTTTACACATGAGCTGAAATTATTGAACTTGCAAACATTTAAGCAGGTTAAGTCAGGTCCATATACATATGTCCTTAGGCGACGTGCAGTTTCTCAAGCCGATTCCATTAACGCCTATCAATAAGCCAAGCCCCCATACCAATGATCCACACCATTTTCTTGTCATTACTGTTAAAAAAAGCATATAATATTATTTGGAATAAATCATATTTTAAATGAATAAGGAATGGCCTCTTAAACATACTCATCGTTTAATATCTAATTTAAATATACTTTATTTTAATATTTTTGGTCTTTAAAAGTTTTAAATAAATAACTTTTTAGTTATTAATCATAGATAGGTTATAAATATCTCTGTGTATACCCACACGCGACATGGTTGTACACCGTCATTACCTGTACCCATAAACCGCAGAACCACCCATATTCTCCTCTCCCCATCATCTAATCTGTATCCTTTACCCGCATACCAGGACCATAATGAGCGGCCAGCGCTGTCCGAACGACAATCAAATCAAGGAGCAAATTGTAGTCGTGACCGGAGGAAATAGTGGCATAGGTTTCGAGTTAGCCCAGGCGCTGGCGGGCCGTGGGGGCAGGATAATTCTGGCCTGCCGCAATCTCCAGGCCGCCGAGCGGGCTGCCACAATTATCAAACGGGAGCTGGGATGTCGGACCCCTCTTACTTCGCTAGACGACGACGACGATCCGGCGGATAGGTATTTCGTGGAGGCCCGCTACTTGGATCTGTGCTCGTTTCGCAGCATCCATCACTTTGCCTCGCGCTTGATGGCGGAATTCGAGCGCATCGACATTTTGGTGAACAATGCCGGACTGGTCTTCGCCAACACTGAAGTGCCCACAGAGAATGGCTTCGAGCGTCACAGCCAGGTCAACTACCTGGGCCCATTCCTGCTCACCCAGTTGCTGCTGCCTCACCTGAAGCGCTCTGAGCAGGGCCGCATCATTATGGTATCGGCCCACGCTCATGCGGCGGCCAAAATCGATTTCGACGACCCGCTGAACGTCGGCACCTGGGCGGTCAAGTTCCACGCCCGTGACGCCTTCGCCCACTCGAAGCTCTGTGTCCTGCTGGCCACCCGCTGGCTTGCCAAGGAACTCAAAGGTAATAATTTTAGTGGTAATGGCAACTGTGTTCGTGGGGGATCGTATGATTTTCTTTAAAACTTTATTTAACTAACGTTGCAGTCTTAAATTGAAATAAATTCATTTGAAAAAGTTGCTGAAAAATCCTCATGAAATATGAAACAGCCTTAATTCTTTAAAGAAATGTCCTCCCGTGGCGTGGAACATTTTTGCATAGCTTGCAGTGTAAATTATTGAAGCATCCCCTGCGATAAGGTTGCACATTCAGGGCTTTTAAGAAAAAACCGTCGTAAATCCGCTAATTTCCCCACAGGTACCTCGGTCACGGTCAACTGCTGCACACCCGGACTAGTGCGCGGAACTCGCCACCTTCGCAAGTAAGTTTCAGCCCAATTTCAATCAGAGAAATCTGGCCACCAAAAGCCAACCAACCTAACCAAAAGGAGCCCGCAGCCCAAATTGAAATTCAAACGAACCCGGAGCAAAGTGTAAAATGCGCTGCAACTGAAACTTTAACTTAATTTTAAGCTCATTTCGTGGCCGCGCCAAACTTTTGCACTTTCATTAAGCAAAGCGAGTGTTTTCCACCATCCATCTCTTTTGCTTTTTTATACTCTATCTCACTATGTAGGTGTATCTCATGGCAAGTGTTTGATGTCGGCTGTGGGTGGTGGGGCTGTGGATTGTGGAGTGGGGATGAGTAGTTTTGATGCAATCAAAAAGTTGCCAAGTCACTGGGGCGGGGCTTGCCCCTTTCTTGGCAGCAGCATCAAGGTAACATTTGACGCCGAAGGCCAAATTCATTTGAAGATTCCAAATTATTTGAAAAGTGGCAGCCTAAATGCCAAGATGGAAGCATCCATTAGAAAATGGAACTATTTTCTTGCACAATGGGGTTCATATTGTAATTGGTTTTCTTCTAATTGTTTCATTAAAACAGCTTGAATCTTCAGGATATTAAATAGTCCAATTAACAATAAAAATCTAGTTTATCCCATTTGATTCATGGTCATTTCTGGCTTATATTGATTTTCACTTGGCCAACATCCCTTGGCAAAAAAAAATATTTCTCGCTACAGTTTCAGAATCAGTAATCTAAATGTTTCTAAATTCGTTTTTACGGCATGCAAATTAGTGTGGGCGGTTGGGGGTATTAAACAAAAACCAAAGAAGGACATTTGCACAATACACAGAAAAGGATGTGCAAACACGGCAAACAGTTGCAAATTGCAAAAGGACCGAATGCTGGGCAGCAACAACAATTGTCATCAACAGCAACATCGGCAACATGAGCCCGAGAAAACGACAACAGCTGCAATGAACTTGTGCCCGGCCCCGCCCACATCTCATCATCAAATGCAGATGAGCTGCCATCGAGTGGCACTCTCCGCCCATCCAGCTGCGGAGCCAACGAGCAGGGATGTGCCAACAAAAGTGAAATGCGGTAATTAAAAGTGGCCAAGTCAGAGACGCGGGTCGTCCGCAATCGAAACGGCAAAGCGGCGGGTCAAGCTCTGGCTCTGGCCTGGCTCTTAGCTCTTAGCCCTGGACCCAGTTCTCCGGGTCAACTCCGGCCCGCCAGCCCGCCGGCCCGTTGTCCCGCCACGTTGTCCGTTTGAGTTATGACCCAGACACACAAACCCATGCACACCCTGCGGTCCGTGATGGTGACAGTTGCCTTTGTTAATGTTGATACTAACTGTTGTGGCAAACTGGCCGGTATTTCTTTTTGTTTTTTTTAGATTTTTTTCTACATAAGGATTTATTTTTTTTTTTAATTAAAAAACATTTTATATTTAATATCGATAAATCTAATATTTAAATGCTATGACACTTAAAAACTTTTAGGTACTAAAACCAAAAAAGATGAGTTACATTTATAGTCATTTCAAAATAGTCTTTTTATCAATCTAAATCTCCATTTTTTTATAACTTTTCTTAAACTTTGAATTATTTAATTAATAATAGCCAGAACAATCGCACAGGACATCTCTAGCTGGCTCTATAAAACTGCCAGAACTCTCAGAACCAACTCTCCCGACTATGAGCATGGCCATGGCCCAGTCCTCTAATGATGGGCCAGAATTAATGCGAAATTTATTGATGCTCACTAAGCTGGCACAAAAGTTTCCTCTTTGTTTTTCTTTTGCCTTCATTTTTTTTGGCAGTTATAAATTAGAATTTTCCGGGTAAAAAGCGGGGGACTAGCTGACCCTGAATGCGTAATCATTTCTCAGGAAACACATCTATTTGCAGCTGGAGACTTTGAATGAGTTTTGGGAGAGGAAATCACAGATTTGTCTATGTATTTGCTTGCTCAAGCGCTTAAATATCCTACCCAAGCTTGTGATTGGGCCATTTAGCGCCCTTTTTACTAAGTTTCCAGCTGCCTTACATCATTTTAATTAGCGAAGCATTAAATATCTAAGAGATATTGAGGATTACTTTATTAGAATGTACTCTGCTAGCTTGGGTGAGGTACACATGTAAATGGGGTAACCACAAAGCCCTTTTAGGGAGAACAATAGGTGGACACGATTCACACAGTCAAGTACAATGGAACAGGTGCTCAAGTGTGTGGCACACGCACGAACTCACAGATACACAGGCGCACAATGGCAGTTGTTCACACACGAACAACACGTACAACAAATTACACAATTCAATGGCAATAAATGATGTAAAGTAGAGAGTGAAACGGGAAAAAGGCCCAGATTTAGATACAGTTGGCCAGATATTCGTCCCTTACTCCCTGCCGCCTTGTCGTCCTTCCAAAAGTGGCAAGCATAAGTTGAGCTGTCACAAGCCAGAAAAGCATAATCCATCATAGGCACAAATTGTAATGTCTGCATACATATGTACAAGTATAACTACCGGATGGCGATGCCAGTTTCAGAATCTGCCAAGGATTCCTTTCCACTTCCACTCCCCAGACCGGCCAGAAACATTGTTAACATGCGTCATTACAATTTGCAAATGCCATAACAATACTCGTACAGCGGCAAAAAGTGGCCTGAAAGTGGGCAACGGCACAAAGGCAGGCACGAAACAATGAAGGAAATCAAATGCCTTGGCCAGCGTACAAATCATTTCGACATAAAACGCAGCACCTTGACAGGTGGATGTGGAATGGAGACCAATGTGGCCATAGGTCCTGCTCCTATTTCCGTGGAGCACGTGACCTAGACCAAAATCCAAAAAATAGAGATGAGAACTGAGAGAACCAAATCTCATCCATTTAGCCAAACACAAAAACCACCTTTATTCATGTCTGTTTCTGTCATATATTGCTTTTACGACCTCTTGTTGAGCTCTTAAAATTTTAAGCATTGTTTTTGAAGCAGAGTGCATATGCCAAAAATTGCTCAATTTTGTTGTATTGTAACAGGCCATTCAAAAGAGAAAGCCAAAACAAATTCAACGAAATAAAACACATGCCCACCTCTAGGGCAGTGGCCCAGAGCCCGCCCCGAACTTGGCCAACTGCTGCGGGCAGCGGCAATAAAACAGCAAATGAACAGCGGAAGCAACATCAAGTGGCTGTAGGTGAGCGGAGTGTGAGTGTGTGTGTATGAGTGTGTCCGTGTCAGCCAAGTTACTGCACGGGCTTGGATGTAAGGCAACTGCTTCGTGCACATGTGAAGTACACTTGGAAAATGAATTTGATGGATATGCTATTATTTTATAGTTAACTTTTTGGAAACAACAGTAAGAATATGCTTTCTCTATAGTTATTATAAGTATCTTTTTATAAAAAAGTGTATTATTTTTAAAGAAATGTTACCTATTTAGCGAAATCTTCGATAGTTTCCAAGTGCTTGAGGCTAACATGCAGTCACTTCCTGTCCATCGGATGTCTCCCTGTTGTGCTTTTTGCTGCTGCATTTCGCTACATGTTTTGCCTTGGCTAGTAGATATTCTTTGCACAGACTTTGTAGCGCCAAATTGAACTTTTGTTGTACATCCCCCCTTTTTTTTACCTTATAGCCTTTAACTCCCTCGCTTCCTCTTCTACATTTCACTATAATGTGTATGGGTATGCCAGAGATAACTCTGACTTTCGTTGGCAACTGCAAAACTGCTGAAGCAGCTGTCAGTCTCATCCATGTACGGCCACTCCTTCGCTGTTGCCGCCCACTTCCTGACACTCTGGGATTTTTTGCTGCCATTGCCATTGATTGAAAAACTGATACCTGCTGGGCTTTAGAGATTGCGGCTCTTATGCTTATCATCGGGCTTCGTTTATACTGTGCATCATCTTGGGGAAAAGGTCAGTGGTGGACGGCGAATCAATGCAGATTTATTGCGGCCTTTCAATATCCTGATAGTTTAACAATGCATCACTTATCCCTGAAACTAGGATTTGCAACAAACCAGTAAAGCATAAAAGCTGCATGAATTTTAAGAACAACTACAAGTGGCTAGACAACCTTATATATATTTTTTTTTGAAAGTTGACCCGTAAACACATAAAAGAGACCCCCCAGAATTCCCATTAATACGTAATCGCCTCTAAGCACTTAACCCCATCGAAACCTCTTACGCTGAAATGGCTGTCCAATAAAAACAATTAACCTAGCGTATATGCTATTAATTCTGACCCTAGAGCAGATTCAATTTCCGCTCGTGGACCATCTATTGTGGTATTAAAGGAAAATTCTTAGCAAAAAAAAGCATGGTCTTTTTCTCTGAAAGCCGTTTTGCTGCGCTTTTTCATTTGGCTCGCAGCACATTCGCTCACACCCTGGCCAAATACAGGCGAAAGATTTTCCAGGTTGGTAGAAGCAGGTGGTGCAGGTCGGGGTATTAAATGAACTTTGCCCTGCTGCAGCTTAGCGAGTCAAGCGAAACTTTGCCATGCTACCACCCACTTTTAAATCACAAGGTGTGAGTATATCAGGCATGTCGTGTGCGTATACGCAATATTAATGCCATTCAAGCAAGAACGGCTTGTTCAAAAGCACAAATTGCATAATAATCACCATGAAGCCATTCATGAAATTCAAATAGAAAATTGAACCTTATAATTGTATAGAGAAAGGAAAGCAAAGTTAGTTATTCTAGAGAAATCTTCCTTTTTCTTTGTCTGGGAAAAACAGTCTGTGTGATTCAGTTTAATTAATATTCCCTAAGGCTTTCAGCCTTATCCCAGAATTTAATATATGCACTCTTGCAAGTAGCCCGATATTTTTTTTATTTCCAAAACAACAATTAATCTAAGGAGTAACCAGAGAGTCTAAGCCACGACCTGCAACATGCATTTGTTTTTATTTCCCCGATCTGCAGCCATCTGCAGCCCCTGCAGCTTTCTGTGCACTTTAAAAATGCAACCAGTGGTGTGGGTGTGGCAGGTTGAGTACAGGGGGAACTGGTGAGTGCAAGGACAGATACTCGTATCTATGAAAACGCTGGCGTAAAACGATGAATGGAATCAACACCAGCCTCGACTCATGGCAAGGATTTTCCAAGCAAAGCTCCGAGGGCTGGGAATGGTTTCAGGGGGCAGTTTCCTGAATGGTTCTAAGAGGTTGTAAAAGGTTAGGGAGGAAAAGACAGGGTCAGATCAAAAACATGCACACTTGCACTAAAAAAAGTCTTCAGGAAGCAAAACCTAATCCCGTATTTTAAAGGACACTTTTAATCTGCACTTTTGTGTTTCTGCCACGACTGCGTGTGCAGTGTGGGTGTGCGTACTATGAAATGGATGGAAATGAAAAGCAGTTAATGCTCAAGTCACGGAAAAAGCGTAAATGGAAAAGTTAAACGCATTAATTATTTATTTATCGTTTTATCGTGTTCAAGTGTCGGTGAACTTGCTCACCGTTCATCGTTCGTTGCCCGCCCGTAAAGACAAAAGGAGAAGCGGAGCAGGAAGGACATAACAGGAGCGAAACGAGGGCGAAAAACATTAACAACGACAGCTAAGCAAATTGCGCGCAAGTTCGTAATCCTTCCTGAAAAGGCAGCATCAGTGGCAGGAATAAAGGCCAGGGTGGGGGCCAAAATAAAAAGGGCGGAATGGCTATTCCACACAACTCGTCGGGGCTCAGGCGGTGGGCTTGGCACTGGCCCACGCCCAACCGGCGAGTTGGCCAAAAGCTGGAGATCAACGCTTGAGCGCCTGAATTCAATGGAGGACATCTGCGTGAGGTGCCCTCCTTTATTGGCCCAATCGAAATTGTCATTAAAACAATTCAACAAAAAGACGCTTTAAAGATTTTGTCTCAGTTTGTTGAAAACTTAAATTGGACAGGACTCTGCTTTGCATATTAAACAGAAACTTGAACAATAAATTCGTTAAATATTAAGTTTCTGAATAACTCTAAAGTTTTGAAAACATTTTGAAGTTTGTTTATTAAAATTGTGCGGTCTAAGCAATCAAGTTATTTCAGTTACCAGTGGAATTATTCAATAAAATAAGAATAGAAAGGATGCCTTTTGTCTTACTATATATATATGTTTTTACGGCTTATGTGATGTGGGTAACACAAAATATTTATATACAAAATACTTTAAAATATATAAAATAAAAATTAATAAATATTTTTACCAGCTTTCCTCAACTCTTTACTAATACAGTTCTGTCTTAAAATTTTACAAGCTCTACGAAGAGTATCTCTCTTTCCAAAATTCCTTCCCTTCAAATCGCTTTGCCCAAACTTACAATGGCCTCGTAATTGGTTAACTTTTGATTTCCTCTTCCATACAGCTCCCCCCTGATGTCAGCCATCTGCGTGAAGGTGGTCACCTTCCCATGGATGTGGCTGTTCATGAAGAACGCCTACGAGGGCGCCCAGTGCGCCATCCGTTTGGCCACCGATCCGCAACTGAAGCAAGTCACCGGCGAGTACTTCAAGTGAGTTGCCGTGGCCACTTCACTGCAGTTTTTGGCCACTTTTTGCTACATCCCTTCTGCTTTTTGTCCCTTGCAGTGACTGCGAAATTGCACCAGGTTCGGAGGCGAGCCAGGATAAGGAGCTGGCCAAGAAGCTCTATATGCAGACCGTAAAAACTCTCGAGAGTGTTACTAAGCTAACGGTGGACAAGGAGGCGCTGGGCATGGAAACGGAGCCCGAACTGAGGCTGGAGGCTCCGGCAGCAGCGGAAGCGGAAACGGAAACGAACCATGGCCAAGGAGCAGGAGAAGAACGAAAGGAGGAACAGCAGCCATTGGAGTGATTTATGCCTGGCACGCGGTCTGCCGTCTTCGGGGACTCCAACTGCCAACTGCAGCGTCTATTTGCATTTGGTTTAACAATTGCCGCATTAGGCAGCCTCCTTCTCGCTTAGGAGCGCCTTTTTATGGGTCTGCAATTGCAACGGCAACTGCCAACTTACACTTACACTCCAAAAAACCATCATTGAAATCGAAATTTACCTTTGCAAGCTACATACCTTAAAGACTCTAACAATAATCGACTTGTTATTCATCAAAGTTTCATCTAAGATTTAAAAAAATAAAGAGAATCGTCCTAAAAAGATCTTTATTGAATTTTATGTATAAAATTTCAATCTTTTTCTCAAAGTATTTTGTTTTAAGCGTAGCTAAGCCGACATCAGCTCTCTGACTTTATGTAGCCCCATTCCCGGAAAATAAATGCAACTTTAATGGGCGAGCAGTGAAAATTTGCTGAGTTTGTACTTTTTCTCACACAGGATGTGCTTCGGAGTCGATGGGACGAACAACAGGCTAAATATGTTGCCGCTTGTGTCTTTGATTTATTTCCAATTTAAAATTCTTTCGGTTCAGCGAGAATCCCTCCCAGAACCTAAAGGGACAGTCTCAAGCAATTTGCGTAAATAATAGAAAAGAGAGGAGTGTTTTTAGGGATTTTAAAGGGAGAAAAGTTTCCTTTGTAAAGCCACTTGAAATTATTTCCATTATTTATTTTCCAAAGGGATTTTTTGGTTTCACTAAAAGGATGAAACTTTTTAGACAAATGTAATTAGTTTGGCCATTTAGCCACACCCAATTATGAATTTAACTGAAGTGCTGCACTTGAATAATTATGTTTAATTGAACTATACATAATTCTATGACATTCGTTAATAAACAAATATGTAATTTAACTAAATAGTTATTATTTTAAATGTGTGCAAAACTAATTATACAGAAAAAGAGAACAGTGGCTTATCAATTAGTAACTTTACTGTCGGTTTTATTTAGGCATTATTGCAATGAATGTATTTTTGTCTTATAAGCTAAAGTGGGCTCCTTAATTGAATAACAATTATAGAATTCTTTGCCTTTTGGTCTTTAAATGTCGAGCAGAATTCACCAGCGACAGTCGTAAATTTTGAGAACCAAACCCTGGCAAAAACCATTAAGACAGGCTTGAGTGGAGAGGAAAATAAGCTAATTGCAAAATGCCTTTCTTTCCATCTAAATTTGGTCTTTCCCCAAACCCTATATGCCAAAATGGCAACGCGTGCCAACAAACTGTTGATTACGAGCCACCAACAACAAGGACTACACACTAACACAGACACATAAACTGGTACAAACACAAATACAGATGCGGATGCGGATACGGATAATTGTCTATATGTATGGATGTATGGACAGAAAACAAACCAGAGATGCAAGGCCAATTATTTTTAGTTCAGCTAAAACCGATTTCTATTAGAATGTGTGTACATTGTACAATGTGGGGCTTAGAAGAGGACATGGCAATGGCAGGCAGACGTGGCAGAGTCATGAGAAACGGTGCGGTGGAGCAAGACCCGCCTTGTGAACAGGACACATGCAACTGTCTCGACGCAGCCCCGCTTTGTATGCTATGGAAAATCTCTTTATTATATTACGTGCGACGCTTTTGTTGTCAGTTGGCAGGCGGCACACAGTCGCAACAACAAAAGCCGCCTCCCCTCTGGAAAATCCACAAACTCCCACCCACCCATATACACGCCCTCTCCCAGCTCCCAGCTCCCATCCCCACAAGCACTTTTCCCAGCGCCATGTGTTGCTAGAGCAATTTTATGGTTCCCTTTTCGAAGTTGCTTCGTGTGACTGGCCCAGTTTTTTCCCCCAGTTCGCCCCATTTTCCGCCTTTGCGAAATGAAAAGCTCCTGGCGTGGAAAAGCGATTACGTTGGTAAAAAGCTTTACGTTTCCGGTTACCTTTCCGCCGTGGCGTGTTAGCGTAATATGCAGTTTACGCGCTTCAATTTTTCTGCCAGAAGGGGTTTCCTAAAGCAACCCCTTGCACCACATACGTAAAATGTAATATTTTTCTTTGAAAACTTATTTTTGTTACAGTGCATACAGAGCTTTTGGGAGCGAGATTAAGCAACAGTGGCCATTGAAACTTAATTCTCTTCACTTGACTCTCTTTAATTTAAATTAATATCTCTTAAATTTTTCTCAATGGGGTTTTAATGGGAATTGAAATATTACGTATACGTAAACTAAATACCGTTACCACTACTTTTAACTTTAAGCTAAACTAAAAAAAAAACGTATTACAATGCTTTTTTTTTTTTAATTTCAAAAAAATTTTACTTATACGTAAGAAGCAAAAAAATAAATATTATGTATACGTACCAAACATAAATCAATGTAAATATTACGTATACGCAGCAAAAAGAAAGTATATGAGAAAAACAACTGCAAGTAAAACTACATGTTGATAATACAAGTAATTTTTTTTTTACCTGCAACAGTGTCCTTAAAAATTAACCTCATTTTTAAACCTGACAACCCTGTGATATGTTTGTTTTTCTGCCACAACTATATCTCTTTTAGCCAAATTCACTTGCCTCTCTGTATTACAACTCGAAAGCTTTTAAAACACCTGTGAGAAAGCTCGGCAACAGCGGCTTTCACCTTTGCCTCTGATGTAAACAAACGCCCAAACAAATTTGAGAAGAGTAAATAAACAAATTAAAAGTCAAAATAAAATAAAATCAAACAGAGGAAGCGCGTGGAGAACTCCAAGAATTCGTTAAGTGATGCGGTATTTGAAATCAGACAAGTGAATCTCATAGAATATATGTTTCTCCCGAATCTTGTTCAAATTCGTTTGAATCGCACTGGCGGTGAGAAAGTTCCCGAGAAACTCAGTGGAGAGTGTCAGCCCGAGCCGACTTTTTGAGAGTTGAGCTCGGCATTTTGTTTGGGTTTCGCCTTTGCCTTAGCTGCTTTGGTCTTGAAAACGAGCCTTCAGTTGTGTGGCGACCGTGGCAAAGTGCAAACGTGCGAAATTCCCTCGTTAAGGTTAACGACAAAAACGCAAACCAACGTGGATATCCACGATGCTGCCACACAAGTAAAGAAAAAAAAATAAGAAAATATAAGGAAAATACTACGACTGTCTCACCCACACATACAACTGGGCAAATATTGAAAATTCTAAGGAAACTCGCCCGGAGAAATGGGGCACAAGTGAAGGTGTGTGAGTGTTTATGTTGGTATCTAGTTCTCTGGGCCCCGTAACCGTGTGCATATTAATTATTCAAATTAATTGCAAGAATTTTTCAACAAGTCTGTATATATATTTTATATGTATATTCGTGTGGCACTATTCGCCAAGTGTTGCATCTTAAATGGGTGTAAAAAATAATCGACTGAAACTCGGGCAAAGTCATCAAGTGACGCCATTCGCATCTGGCGCAGAAAAGAAATTAAACGAAATGAAATTTCCTTGAGAAACACTAAAATTTTAAGTGTCACACTTGGGCTCCTTCGCAGTTTCCTGTGCTTATCCTGGCTCTTGTTATTATATCATCCTGTGAATAAGTGGAAGTGAAGGCATTGTTGTTCTTGGCTTTGTTGTTTATGTACTGCCGTGTTTTTTGTTTTTGTTTATAAACGGAATACATTGTTTTTTAATGAAAAACTGTGGTTAGTCGAAATCGTTACACAATGTTATATCATTTATAATTATGAAAAATATATATGATATGGAATAATTATATATTCGGTTATACATATAAGTAATATATACTTTGTACCAATTTTTGTATATTTTGTACAATTTCATTTATTATCTTATTTGAATATACACCCAAACTATTAAAACCCGGGTAATGCTGGTAAGTTCTTTATCTTTTTAGTTCTCTAATCAAAATAAATCATTTAAATTACTGAGGGTCCTGTTTACTGAGCGATCCCTGTGCCGTTGTCCTGCCAAGCTCTAATGCAAATGTTTGTCTGCGCCCGCGCCTGTTAACATTTATTTGCTCCTTTCGCCAGGACTCGCTTGGCTCGTTTGGCGTCCGTCCCGGCACTTGGGATAGAAAAACAAACAAACACACACTCCAAGTGCTCCTTGGCCTTGATATTTATGGCCGGTGCGTCAGCCTGTGGCACATACACTTAACATGGGTTACCATTTGCCATTATCGCCAGCTCATGCCCCTGCTCCTTCCCTCTGGGTGAGTGCTGGGTGATTTCGAGTGGGCTCCACCCCCAGTGGAATTTGAACTTGTCGTGGCATCATCATAGCATCCCGTTCTAGCCTCGCTTTCGTTCTCGTTCCCAGATTCGAATTATTATCACCTTGCTAATTATCTATCGATGATGATGATGCTGCCATTTGAATGCGTGCTCAGTTCACCATCCCCTCCAGACTCAGCTCCAGCTCTAGCTCCCCGTTGCCCTGTCGCTTTCGGGTCGCTTATCAATAAACACAGCGCGCGACTTTTGCGTCGCCTTTGCCTATTTGCATTTTATTTCGCCCTGTGTTTGTTTCACATGAGAATCGAGAAATCTAATAATATTCCAGCAAATAAACATGTGAGTACGAGTACCACAACCTCGCAACAAAAGCAACAAAAAACACAACGAAATGAAAAGAATACAGCACCCGATAATAGAGCGGGGGGCAGAAATAAAAACCCATAAAAACCCAACTTTCAACGAACTTTTTATTTGGCGACCGTCCTTGGCTATTGTCGCAGATTCACTTTCCACTAGAGCTGACTTCGTGAGATCCAATATTTGCTAGATACATAAACTCAGTTACCTTTGATATTATAGTTTTTGGAAAAGCTCTTATAAATATTAAAATATAAAAAAAAATGTTGAGTTATAAATTAAAATACAAATTTAATATTCTGTTTCTGTAGTTAACAAGCTCAATACACAATTTTCTTCTGTATCATAGGCAATGAGCTGTTCCATTTTATTGACCATTTAATAATCTAAAAATATTCCCAAATATTTACTTATAATTTAAATCACAATCAAAACGAGTAGTGACGTTAACAGTGCGGTCTCAAGAATAAACGATTGTGTTTTCCAAAATTTAGATATGTTTCCAGTTTATTTTTTTAACAAAACTAAACAGAGCAATATATGATTG